TTTTTTTTTTTTTTTTTTTTTTTTTTTTTTTTTTTGTGGACCATTTCTCGATCATGCGTGTCATGCGCAGGGGCCATGCTAATCTTCTCTGTATCATTCCAATTTTAACGCATGTCCCGAAGGACAGTTGCGTAGCAGGTATAGCCGCAAATGGAATAGAAGAACACCCAGCAGAATGCAGACAATATACACACACAGTTATGTGCACACGTGAATCCACCTATGAACCACCTATGGAGATGTCAGGGAGTACACTGCATGGCTTCGGCCCTTCACAAAATAGAAAAGAAAAGGAAAAGAGGAAAGGAAAAAAAAAAAAAAACAGAACATTGAGAACAATAATTGAGTGTGAAGCCGTGATCAGATTAATTGTGTGGTATTCTTCGAAAAGTGAGGGTAACAAAAACCAAACCATGGATAATCTTCCAGCCTGGCCTCAGCATAATGGAGCTCGAATTCGATCCTAAGGAGTGGATATGGAAACAAAGCAAAACCGGAAAAACCAGAACGATACTGGATTACGACGTCAAATTCGGGTACAACCTAGGCCTACTGACCACGGACCCCAACCCCAAACTTGAAGACAGATGGAGAGGGGCACTGATCCATCCATCCCCTGGACAAAATACCTCCCCATCAGACCAGCTAGAATCCGTAGCTTACAGTGGCTCCTAGCCCATGCAGCACTCCCTGTCAACCAGTGGCTCCACAAAAGAAGAAAACACTCGGATCCCGACAACTCTGAACTAGTAATGTGCGATGACAACGTCCCTGAAGACATCCCCCACTGCCTCCTCTACTGCATCCAGGCCGCCTGGATATGGAACAAAGTTCGAAACCTATGGTCCCACCTCTTCTCATTCCCTCCCCCCAACCTCACCCCTCTGAACATCCTGCTTTTATCTAACATCCCCGACAGCCTCAGAAGTGCCAAAGCAGTCTGGTTCTACATGATCAGGAAACTAGCCCTGTGGGCAATGAGAGGCAAACCTGAAAGACTCGCACTCAGGAGACAAATCTTCATGAGAGACTGGTTGCTACAGGGGAAGATCGTGACAGTCTCAGACAATGGGCCACTACAACCACGTCAAGGAATGTAGCCCCGAGAGGGACAAATTGAGGTTCTAGCCTCAGACGAATAGACATCTCTCCCGGTTTTCTTGTGCTCAAAACCTATTACAGAACCAACAGGGTATCTGAGAGGAAAGCTAGGGTAGGGCAAGCTGACAGTCAATCCTCCCATACAGGAGTAATCAATGCAGGTCAGGGTTCCTTCGGCCAGACGGAAGGAAGCGTGGGCGTGTACTATGTTGTATTCAATCTTGACTTGCCGGGGGAATAGGAACCGGACTGACGCTCCCCAGAATGGACACAGAGCCAGGGCCATAAAAAAAAATAAAAATAAAAAATAAAAATAGAAATTATTGTGTGGTATGTTTGCAACAAATTGTTTTCACTTGCATTGTTTGCTTGTTGTGTCTGCCTTGTGAGCTTTTAGCGTTTTATTTCATTGTGCACTGCATTGTTTTTTCGTCCACGAGTTCTGCTCATGGCTTCGGTTTGCTGGTTGATTTCTTGACTGTGTATTGCAGCACGGCCAGCATTCTATCACTATGTCTTCGTCCTGTTTGTCTGGAACTTTCTCCAGTGCCTGGGCACCATCCTGGTTGGGTCTGGTGCAGACTTTGGCTTCTGGTGAGTTTCCTGGTAGGTCAACACTGTGCTTTCATGTCTTCACAGCTGGCGAATGTCTGTCTTAGTGCCATGATTATCTTTTTTCGAAACACTCAAAATTTGGACGTTTCTCGATTTATGCGTGGCATCCGTGCGCAGGGCCTTGCTAATCTTCTCTCTATCGTTGCAATTTTTAACAGGTATCTGTTTTGATTGTGTGATTGAAATTGCATTCAGTGAATCTCTGAGCCAGCAGCAGAATCTAGGAGCACTCGCTATCCCAGCACATGTGGCTGAACAAAACTCGTTCCCTTGGGTTCCCTGTTTTGTCAAGGGTGACACTCACCCATAAACTCACTTTCCTTATTAGACCAAACCACAAGCTTTCGTGCTTGCTTAGATGAGATAGGATGATAGTCCACGTGAGCTGCAGAGGATGCTTGGGAAAGCCAGATATAGGAAAAGGCGGGACCACAGACATTGGCAGGACCACAGATTGCTTGCTCTGAGGCAGTACTCTGTGGCGTCTTGACAACTGACTAGGCAGTGAATGATATCTTCGTGGGCTTGATGGGGCCAAGCTCGCGTGCAAAATATTCACTTTTAAGCAAGGCTGGTCCCCGGGCCGCCCAGCCGCCTGGTCGTCACCCGGGGGGGGGGGCGGGCCGCCTGGCCGGTTGTCATGCCCGGTTGGCCACCGGGCACCCCCAGCGCATCGGTGTAAGTTAATTTTTTGTTTTTTCCGGTGCTGGGGGCCTTTCCGCCCTCATGGCAGACTATATAGACCACGAAAAAAAAAAAACGGGGCCGGCAGGCCCAATTTCACCGATTCGAAATCGGGCCCGATCTAGATCATCGATCTCAAAGATCGACGGCCCAGATGGCCGCGATTTCGAATTGGTGGGGGCGGGAGCTACCGGCCCCCGTTCCCTTCCCCATTCTCACGTTGTACCCCCTACCGTCTTCCCCCGAACATTACACACCCTAAAAATGAATGTATACGAGCTATATTTCTGGCCAGATACAGCCAAAATGAGGATGTGTTGTGTTCGGGGGAAGACGGGTCCCCCCTTTCCCTGCCCTGCAGTTCTGTAGCTCCGACGGACTTCGGCGCTGAACCTTGATGCTGCCAGCACCTCCCAACGCCCGCCACCGCGCGTGACCCTGCCAACCCCACCGTCGCCCGCCAATGCCCACGATCGCGGTTCCCCGCCATCGACAAG